AGGACCTGCAGTCTTGTTCGCGGACGCTTAGACTCTAGACCATCGAGCCGACATCCAACAGTGTCAACGTCTGGCCTCAGCCAATCCACGATATTACATCAGACGTGGGGCAGTTACTTATCTAAGACTATGGATGGTGGTCGTCCAACTTCTGGAATTGGTTGAAGTTAGACATCTACACCAATGGAGTCTGGGGGTTGATCGTTCGTGTGCGAGACAGAGGATGACGGGTTCGAGTACTGCGTGTGTAATCATGGACTGGCACTGCTGATGATGATTCTCATATCAATACGAAACAGACATACATTGCTCTCAAATTTTTAGTGGCGGTCTGATGTTGGTTGGCTCACGATCTCATTCGAAATTCGGCGATCTCTCCAACCACATGCTGACTCCTAACTTTTCTGTCCGAATACAAGTACAACGATATATGATGACTCGTAAATTTACGTTTTTATAAGGAACAACGAATATATAAAAAAATCTAAGATGTAGTCCTTCACATTTCGTTATTTGTACTGTATTTTGAATAACTTCAAAATAGTTTAGTTTACTAGCTTGCGAAAAAAATCGAGCTAAAGTTCCGTCTCCTGGACAAAAACTGATGAGATATTTTGACGCAGCAAAGTAAATGCTTCATTAACAGAGCACTCGTCTCTCATGTACCGTACTTACTTACGCCTGTCACTCCCAATGGAGTATAGACCGCCGACCAGCTCTCTCCAACCCATTCTTTTCTAGGCCTTCCTTTCTATTTCTATCCATGTTTTTGCTCATTCTTCTCATGTCAGCCTCTATTTCTCGGTGTACTGTGTTCTTTGGTCTTCCTCTTCTCCTTTGGCCTTCAGGATTGCATGTGAGGACTTGTCTTGTGACGCAGTTGGGTGAGTTCCTCAAAGTGTGCCCAATACACTTCCAGCGCTTCTTCCTGGTTTCTTCCTCCACTGGATGAAATCTGGTTTGTCCTCTCTCAAGGTAGGTTGTTGCTCACAGTGTCTGTCCAACGGATCCGAAGTATTTTGCATAGACAACTGTTAATAAACACCTGTGGTTTTCGTAGTTCTTCAAGTTTCCGCCCCATACGGTAGAACTGTCTTCACATTTGTGTTGAAAATTCTGATGTTGTTGTTGGTTGACAATTGTTTTGAGTTCCAGATGTTCTTCGATTGTAGATATACTGCTCTTGCTTTGCCGATCCTCGCCCTCACATCTGCATCTGATCCACCGTGTTCATCAATGATGTAAAGGTTTCCACATTCTCCAAAGCTTCTCCGTCAAGTGTAATTTGATTGGTGCATGTTGTATTGTATGGGAGAGTCTTGCTTTTCCCTTTGTTTATATTGAGTCCTACTGCTGCTGAGGCTGCTGCTACACTGGTCGTCTTCTCCTGCGTGTGTGATAGAAGAGCCAAATCATCTGCGAAGTCTAAATCGTCAAGCTGCATCCTAGCTGTCCATTGTATCCCGTGCTTCCCTCTAGATGTTGACGTCTTGATGATTCAGTCGATCACCAGGAGAAAGAGGAAGGGTGAGAGTAGGCAACCCTGCCTAACACCGGTCTTTACCTCGAATGAGTCAGTGAGTTGTCCTTCGTGGACGATTTCGCAGTTTAGTTCATCATAGGGATTTCGTATGATATTGACTATCTTCTCAGGCACGCCGTGGTGTCGAAGAAGCCTCCATAGTGTTGTCCTGTCCACGCTGTCAAATGCTTACTCGTAGTCAACGAAGTTGATGTAGAGTGATGAATCCCATTCAGTTGATTGTTCCACAATTATCCGTAGAGTTGCGATTTGGTCTGTACACAGTCGATGCTGATGGAATCCAGCCTGTTGATCTGGAAGTTGGGCGTCTACAGAGTCCTTCATTCTGTTTAACAATACGCTGTTGAAGACTTTACCTGGTATTGAGAGAAGAGTGATTTTCCTGTAGTTATCACACTTGCTGAGATTGCATTTCTTTGATATTTTGATCAGAATTCCTTCTTTCCAGTCTGTTGGTACTTGTTCTTCATCCGAAATCTTACTGAGGAGAATGTAAAGTATCTTTGCAGTTGCTGCTACATCTGCTTTCAGTGCCTCAGCCGGGATGTCTTGTGGTCCTGCTGCTTTGCCGCTGTGATTTGTTTGATGGCCATGTTGATCTCTTCAATTGTTGATGGGCCAATATCGATTGGGAGGTCCGTGGATTCTGCTTCGATGTTGGGTGGGTTCAGTGGAGCCGGTCGGTTCAAGTGTTATTTGAATTGATCTACTCATCTGTTCCGTTGATCTTCAATGTCGGTGATTACTTTGCCTTCCTTGCATTTCACTGGTCTTTCTGGCTTACGGTAATTTACAGAGAGCTTCTTTGTTGTACCGTACAGTTGTCTCATGTTTCCATCTCCTACAGCTTTTTCCGCCGTCTTTTCCAAGTATTCCACATATTTACGTTTGACGTTTCTGATGCTCATCTTCACTTGCTGTGTATTAAGCTTGTTCTTGTTCGGCTGATATTGATTGCTGCCTTCTTGTTCCTCCTTTCTTCAATCTTATCCAGTGATCCATTCCTTGTAATGGTGCTTATGTGGCTCAGAACCTCTTGACATGTTGAAGTGATTGCCTCTTTTATCCATTTTCAGTTGCTCTCCATGGTAGTTCCCTCTCCATTGAGTAGATCATGAAAGGCCTGGAACCTGTTGCCGAGGACTATGTTGAATTTGTTGAGTTTGTCAGCATCCTGAAGAAAGGCAGTGTTGAACTTTTGTGATGTTGTCCGCACCGTTGTCCAGTGCTTCTTAAGTTTACGTTTCATCTTGGCGACCAGCAAATGACGATCTGATGCTATATCAGCTCCTCTTCTGATTCTCAAATCCCCCATCGTCCTACTGAACCTTTTTTGATGCAGATATGGTCGATTTGATTCTGTGTAGTGTGATCCGGTGAAATCCAAGTGGCTTTGTGTTTGTTTTTGTGTGAGAACATGGTGCCACCTATGACCAGTTTATTGAAGGCACATAGGTTTGCAAATCTCCCAACATTTTCTATCCTTTCTCCCAGTCCATGTTGTCTCATGACGTCTTCGTATCCAGTGTTGTCCTTTCCAACCTTGGAATTTAGACCTCTCATCAGAATGGTCAGGTCCTTGGTTGGGCACTTGTCGACGATCGACTGCAGCATATTGTAGAATTGGTCTTTAGCGTCTTCATCGTAGTCGTTAGTAGGCGCATAGCATTCATTGTAATGCCCTCTCTCTTTGTTTTGAAGGATGTTTTGATGATCCTTGGTCCATGAAATTCCCATCCAATAAGTGCATTTTGTGCTTTTCTGGACAGCATCAATGCAACTCCTTGTGTATATGGGACATTTTCTTCTTCATGACCGGAGTATAACAGAAGTTCCCCTGAAGATAGTAGTTGTTGTCCAACCTGCATCCAATGTGTTTCGCTGATTCCAAGCACCTCCAGGTTGTATTTTCTCATTTCTGCAGAAATTTGGAAGTTTCTCTCGGTCTACCACACTGTCAGGACATTCCATGTACCTATGAAAATTGTCGCTAACCACATGTTCCTAATCATATAATTTTAGCGGGCCTAGATTTCAGATCGCTTGCGTCACTAAGTATGATTTCTTTGCGAAAGAAACCCTTCATATATTCCACCACATTATCCGACATAAGTGTTTTTTGACATGCAGAAGCCAAGTTCTTATTTCACTAAGAAAAACCCCCTGCCTACCGGACCTCTTAACATAAAGCTTGTAGAACTCACATAATCATGAGACACCTTGAGATATCTAAACATATTCTCTGTCAAGTAAAGATATTCGAAGCACTGCCTGACGACCAAAGTACATAGACCCACTTGTTCATACACTAGGAATTATTTCAACGGTTTCGCAGAAAGACCAACTACTTGTAGTCTCCTCCTTATGTCCAAATGTGCATTTAAAGGCGAACAGTGAGTACTTCCGATACCCACTCTGATTTCCACCTTTCCGTGAATGAATGTAACTACTACGCATAATATGCCTCTGAGATAGCCAAAAATCACTTACTTTAGAAGCCTCCAAAAAGCAGCTGTTGTTGAAGAAAGTCTAGGTTGACAAGAGTCGTAGTCAAACTATTTGATGTACTAGCATTACTAGGTATGGATGGAAACAACAAAAGATAACGACAAGGTTTCATCTGAATTCCATATATAACATATAAGTGGCAAAGGAAGTGCTCTATCATTAAGAATGATTTTTCAAAATATTCAGCACGTTCGAATATACATATACTGAAAAAGCATGATAGTATATTAAAGTGTGAATCACTGTAGACCATCATTGTTGATGATCTCTGTCTAGTGATTGAAGGCCTACAGGAGTTACAAGGGAACGGTGTGACCAACCAGATTACTTCGAAGTTACACTTCGTGGTCAGCATCTACTGTGGATTACCCCCTCGACGTATTAAAGTACAATGACAGTTTTGAAGACTATATAACACAAAGGACGTTATTACGGAAATATATTAGTAAGAATGAGTACATAGAAGATAATGAAACCACCACCGCATGCGCCGGTCCATGTTATAGGATTAACTGATGCGTGTTGGTTGTCCTTGACTTTGATAGGGATCGATGATCTGTTCGATATTCAGTGACCCAAATGCTGGATGATTTGGCTAGGGCTCAGTGGCATTTCACTGCCCTCACATCATCTTCTGCTACTAAAATCCAAAATGCCAACTGCCACTTCAGCTGTTCACGGCCGTACCAAAAGAATATTTTTACCAGGAGGTGACTATTATTTTACTCCCACTTCTTGTTTTATAACACTCAGTTGAAAATTAGATTTTCGGTTGACCCGAGTTTTTATTAGACGAATCACGGTTATCCATAAATCATAGATAATTTTAGGAGAAATTCCATAATAGGAAGAAATTCATATCCAGTGCTTTTTGATTTACAATGGTGGTCAAGTTAAAATCATTTAGTGACCAAAACTGAAGATATCTCGACCTTGACAGACTACGGTTATTTATAGGATCAATCAAGTGTGTTTTGCTATTATCTCATGCTGATGATTTTGAATAGTAATCTATTTTGTAGTTGATTATTCACTTCAATGAAAAGCTTTAGATGCGTTCTAAGTGTAGTTAGATTTTGGTTAGATTGGATACCATGGGAAAAGGCTTTGTAGATGTTACCAAATCGCCGCTTGCACTAAACTACTGCGTTACTTTTGAGTAGCCACTCCTCTGTAGGGTACTTTTCTTAATGGTATATATTACTATAATCATAATCAACCTCTTATTTCTACGTGCTTCAATTTATGAGTCTTCGTTTCTTGTTGCTTAGAATTAAGGCACTATGTCCTCGAAATAACAATTTAGTTTATGGTCGATTGGTGGCTTCGTAATTGAAGTACATTGTTCGACCGTCGAATTAAATAAGGTCTCTGTGATAACTGAAAGAGTGTTATTTGAATGTTTGCATAAGTGATCATCTGTGCCGTATGGTTCAAGACACCATATGAAATGTACATAAATCGATCGCAACTAAAGATCCGTCGATTTTTTCTCAAGTATTAATTATTTTACTGGTGTTCTATTTATTCGTTCTGTCAGCATTTTTATCTAAACGCATTTTTCGGTTGCATCAGTGTTCTGCTTTAAACTTTAGAAAAGTAGTAATTCAATATAAAAAGTCACTCTTGAAGTCCTTGGTCACCAACCACTATTATTTAACCATATTTTTCGGTTTTTATCATACCTTGATATCTTGACCATGTCATGTTTTTGTTTTCTGATTACAGAATACCAAGAGGTTTAGTAGAATGTTCGGCTAATATAACTGAGATATGTCTAAACGCCCAGTGCGCTCACATACGATTTCTAAATCATGCAAAATACAAGTAAGTTCCTTAAAGGGCAATAGTGAACTTTGCACATTTAGATAGTTTCTAATTCTCATGTTGTTTAGTTCTTAAAGTTGATGTATTTTGATGTGAAGATTCTTCGATTCCAAGTGATTGGTGATTAGTTTTAATTTTTCGAAACTAAGCACAGACCAATTCTTTGATCAAAAGTATTAAAACTTTACTAATTGTTAGGAAGGGGTAAATATGTAATCAAGTAGATCAGCAATATTTGTCAGCCAAAGCAGTTTAACTTACTAATATTTTAAATTGTATACATATGTTAAGCCAAGTATTACCAAGTTCAGTGTATTGATACCCAACAATTAATCAGATAAGTAAATATGGGTATCTCAGTATATTTCGATGTTTTTTTGATTTTTCGCATAGAAAATGTTCACCTGCACCTTTTTTGTCTTTTGTATCAAGCTGTATCAGTCATATTTGGTTGTCACAAGTAGCAAGTAATAGTTTTCCCTCCATCTTAACAAGTACCCGTATCGGTGTTATGTTCAGATGTAGCACTAAAAGTTCTAGCCTCCCGTGTTAAACCTAATTGGGATTGATTAGACAAACTAACAAACCCTTCCTACCAGTTGTATGTATTATTACCTACTTATACCGTGGACTAAGCTAGGAGCTTGGAAACTTATCTATACTAGCCTTTGACGCTCTCAGATCAATTCTGTTTACTCAGATTTCCTACCTCAATCATCTTATGATCTACATGTGTAATTGGTAAAAATAATATCAGAGAGTAGCTGATCCTAATCAGCTAATGAGTAATAATACTACTTAACTATCCTTCACTGTATTGACCCACCCCATAAAATGACCACCTCTTATTCCTTCCAATAAACCTCGGCGTTAGCATGGTATAAATGTCATCCTGCCTAAAATATACATAAGTCAAAAGATTTTGTTAAATAACCTCTATGATCCCTGACCACATGTTTTTAAATATATTGTCTAAACATTGCACTCGCTTTCAAATCCGTGTAGCCACTGTTTATGGTCGAATACCCAACTAGTGTATCTCAAAATGATGAACTATAGAATATGGGGTGATTCGCTGTTCTCACATTGTTTTCATACATTTATTTGCTTACTTCAGTCGTCCCCAAATGCCCTGGTACGGCCGAGAGTGGGGAGAGTCAACTCTTCCTCTCCAAATGCTCTCACATGGCCACATGCATATAACCACTACTAAGGAATTCCTACTCATTGCCTTCTCGTGGCGGGGTGTTGTTTACGAAATTGAGAGAACGAAAAGTGAATGCCTGGCGCTTTAACCAGGTTGGTGGACACGGCGAGTCCACCTAGAGTAGTTGGAAAACCCTGATTCCAAACCAATGGTGTACATGTGCTCCAGCATCCTGAAGGAACAAATGACGTATGAACCAATCGTTGGTCACCGGCTACCATGTGACTACATTTCCTTATGTTGCTCCACTGCCTTGTGGACTAGACCTTTAGGTCAAAGGCTCCGGGTGTGGCCCCTAAGAAAACCACCTGCTTCGGTCTAGGCACCCAGGCAGTATCCCAGCCCCCACACAAATCGAATGATATATATGGTTTATATCTATTTGGTGCCTCCTTGTACCAATGTTTGTATTTAAATAAATAAAAAATAAATAAATAGTTGACATTAAATAGAAATAATATATAATTATTCCTATTTGATGTCTTATATCAACTCGGCGCCCAAATACTGTGAAATTATTCACTCTAATTTAGACGAAAGTTCTTATAAACAAGTAGTTGAGTTGTGTAGGTCTCCTTTTTTATATAACGGGGATTTCTCACAAGAATTAGAGGACATAAACAGATCCCTAATATTTACACATCGTTTTGTGACAGAAACTACTTCAGGCTAGTGATTTTATGAACAGAAAAGTAGACAGATTAAATTAAAAGGACTTTAGTCTTATCACTTCCTTAAAATCAAGCACATAACAACTATTAGTTAAAAAAATCAATTTCGGATCAGATATTTACCTCCTAGTTTTTTGCTTTGAAGGTGGCGTGTCATAAGCTTATAGTGCTTGTTAAATTTTGTATCAAATAAATAGATTCAGGAAATATATTCTAGATTTTCGAGTCCAAGTAATCACTGAAATTAACGTTTTCAAAAGAAATAATGTTCATTGGAAAATATTGTTTTTTTTTGTTTTACAGTTGGCAAACATCATTTTTGAGCTAAATAATTTTTTGTTTTGTGATTAGCACTTTGCGTTGTGGTTTTTATGCGATCAATATAATTAGTGAAATCTCAGCTTTTCAAACCATTCCCACCACAAAATAGTATACCTGGTAGAGCCAAAAATTCATTTTGGTTGTACCTGACTGTTATTTTAGACGCTTTCAGTATACTGTTTTTTGCTTAAGAACTTAAAGCGCGTATTACTATGAAAACCAATCGGTGTAGTCTTGGATTTTTATTTATGGGTGTAGCCAAGTATCACCACGTGCTTAAATATGCAAAGTGATGGTTATTGGTATTGTGAACCTTTGTTCTTAATTTTTTTCATTCATATCCGTCATATCGAGATGGATCTTTATGTTTCATGTCAGGTCGTAACTGTTAAAGATATTTTAAGACTCATTTCAACAGAACTCTTATTTCATTACTTCTTCATTTTAATTAGCCTAATACTCAGGTTACACTTGAACGGGTAATAGGTTTTACGTTGAATAGTAACTGCGCAGTTGCATTTTCTGATAAAACTGGCCTTATCGCTCATGCTGCTGGGTGAGTTGCTTTTTAATACTTTTATCGTTTATATAATATGTTTTCTGTAGCAAAGATTTCAAAAAGTTCGCAACTTATTTTACTGTCTGTAGTTAATAAATTTCATAGTTTTCTTAACTAGTGAGTGTAATATTCAAACCAACTTTATTTTTATAAAATATAGTAAAAGCCATAATATCTCATTCTCTTTGCTAAAAATTATGTTCAGTCAGTTGTTTTAGTTTCCATTGCCAATATGCACCCTTGTTTTCTGATGGCATTTTCAGAGACATTATGTAAAAATAAAGCTTTTGTTCTGTTTCAAGTCGTTTGAGTTTGGAGATCGATTAAAAAAAGAGCTTCAAATTTCAACCTTCGATTGCTGCTATCCTGCGAAAATAAGCCTTGATTACCTCATAAATTTCAGATTTTGGATCACTTACCTTGCAGATTAACACTACATCGTATTTTTAGTGTTTAGTACTATATCACGTCTAAAGGGACCAACTAAACAATTCTTCTTGCATCATCATCCACACATTTGAACCTTGTCAGTTATCCGTTTACAACCCTGGCCTTGAGCATATTTTGTCTATGGTTTACTCCATTCACCACATGTTTCTAGCTTATTTTTCTGACTATAGATAGTGAGCCACCCTCTATAAAGTGGAGCTGGTACGTTTTCCTTCCCCACTGCACTTCGATTCTCATTGTACTGTCTGTCTGAGTAAACAAGAACATCAAATAAACGAATCAAACTTAGTCCGTATTTGGATTTTAATTACCGCGGTCGCCTCAACGGTGTTAGTCTAAGTAGAATGTACAGAATTAAATGTAAGACTTATGTTCATGGCTCATTTATCGTTTGTTCGTTTTGGAGTCAGATTTCACACTACTAAAAGTATAATCATTTGTAGTCTTTTTTTCAATTCGATTCCATTTTAACCGATCATCTTAAGAAGTGAAGGACCTTTGAGTACTTTATGTTTTTTACTTATAATTGATTAATCATCTTGTAAGTAATTCAGATAAAGTATTGTAGTCTAACATTTTTCAAACATGAATAACAGATGTAATTCTGTTATACATAATCAAATACTCGTTTAGTCAATTGATGGCTTTGTTTTGGTAAGTTTATTTGTCCAGGATTCTAGAAACCTTCGCGTAATTGGAATTTCGGTCCCGTGAACTCATCTTAATATTTTATCGAATCAACCTATCCATTATAACATGACCATCTTAGGACACTAATATAATATCAGCTGATCGTGGGTAAGCTCAACTGTCTTGTTCGAAATTGGTTTACAGTCCTATCAACACTAAGAAATCGCAAAGAAAGCTAATTCTGTTCTTCCATCACACACTGTCAGGACTTTGAAAACGCTTATAATCTGTGACATGCAGCTTACAAACATCTACCTTTGGTGATCATGTTTTGTATGTATTAGATGATAATGAATGAAGTGTTTTTTATTTAATCACCTTTTATACGTCTGTAGTTGGATAATAGCATCAGTTAATATGAAAATTTATGCAGACTAATACTAACAGACAGAATAAAACATCAAAGTATTATGTTATTCAGATGAATGATTTTTAAAGTTGTGTTTTTCAAACTATTAATTTAATAATAACAATGTATGCATTTGTAAATAGATGTGTGACGGTTCTTCATTCATTTGAAAATGAACGACAACAATTTATACAAAGTCAAAGTCGTAAAGCTATCACAGCAGTGGATTTTAGTTCAGATGGAAAATATTTAGCCACGGGAGAGGTTAGTTAATTTATTTCGCATCAAAATAAATTCATATACTTTCTGTGTAGTTGTACTTAACATTTTACAATTCAATCAATCCTGTTTTTTGTTTGACTTCGTAAATTTGTAATGTGTTTATCTATCAAGTTTACATTTGTAAAGTTCGGTAGAGGATTTCATTGATATAATAACTATCGGTTAGAAAATTGTAAGAGTTTAATAATTTGGTAGTATTTTGTATTACAAACTAATGTCAACTGAAAAGTCATTGTTTCTTAGAAAACAGTATCATAATGTGATAAGAAGTTGCTTATAAACTGTACAAAATTTCCCAGTTAGTCAATCAGTCATACGCAACGTAGAATCTGACACATGCTTACATCTGCTCCAGTTGCTACACCTTATTACCGTACTGCAATATATTTGACAAGGCAAGTAGAGATAGTAGCAGTATTGATGGTAATAAAAAAAATTAGACTTGAAAGATACTATTCAAGAAGAAAATATAGACTAGTGGAGTAGTAGTAAAACTAATAAGATAGCTTAAAAACTGAGGTTTTAAAGGAAAATAAACATTAAATGTACCTGTACCAACAATATATCTATCTATTTTGTATATGATATTTAATTTAATTAATAAATCAAGTTAACCCTAAACGCAATAGTAACTGTTTTTTTATTGTTATATATCCTGTCACTGTGATTTTTGACGTCTGAGTTGTTTTAGTCGGTGGTAATTGGACTAGTTATATCTATTATATAATTTGAACTAGTTGTAAGTACAGTGCAATCGCTACTTATTTTATCCTTCTATTATTACTATTATGTCACCCAAACTGGTAACAATCAAAGATTCATTGCTAAAGGGGGAACTAAAATTGTGTCAATGCAATCAAATATAGTGACTGGAATGCTATATATGTAGTTGAAACATCACAGAATCTGAATATAATGGTGGAGGGACACAAACTTTGCTTGAAGTATATTTCCAAACCGTCAGAAAACCTGAAAAAACCAGGGAACAGGTCAGCAATAGCACTACACTCAAAAGAGTTGGGGTACATAATTGATTTCAGTGGCACAAGAATCCTCCATAATGGTTTTAGTTCATACAAAGAGAGGCTAACAGCCGAAACCCTACACCTGTGGACTAATCCACACAGCATTAATTGGAGAAATTGAATACGATTAACTGTCCTATGGCGATTAATAATTAATAAGTAAACCTAAACTCCTTATTGCATTTTACTCCATTTGATCTATCGCTTATTATGTTAGCAGTAACAATTTATTTCACTTGTTCCCATCAGTTGGTTTATCTGAATATATGTGATAAACAATAAACTTGATCAACATAATAAAACAAACATTTATTTTTGTCTACTTGTCATTTTATCCATGCTGTGACATGTCCAACTCATATCATCCATAAAATTATTTGATTTCATCAAACACCTCTAATCAGGCGACATATAGTCAATGGAGATTTTTCTCACATCAGATCTACTTGCGTACACTCACAACTGTTATCTCAACACACTTTTCCCCACTTTTAACGTCAAATGTCTCGTGCGCACTACAGCAAATCTTTCAACATTGTTAATATAATTGGATGACCCGTTTAGTTTACAGTTAACCGGAGAACCGTGTTTGTTTATATTCGTCAATTTTGATATTTGATTATATTTCCTTGAAAGAACTTGGATCGGATTGCCGAGTGAGACGCTAGGTTTACTCAGTCTCTGAGATTTTCACGATTATAATCTTCCTCTTTTATGTCTTAGATTAACTCGGCGCCCAATTACTGTGAAACTATTCGTCCAAATTTAAACGAAAGATCTTATACTCTAAATGCTCAGTCCTTATAAACTCAGTGAGTTTCTAATTATAGGGGTATTAGTCATCATTAGCTAAGGGTCAACTGAAATTGATTTCGATCTTGTTCAGTTTAACTTTCACATAAATTAAGTGGAATTTCTCTTTCGTTGCTTTGTTTAACGCGAACATCACCATTTCAGCATTTATGTTCCCAAAATATCATTCCCCGTAGTTTAGATGATACATTTTTTACGTAGTATGAAAATTACTAAGATAATCCCAAACTTGTCAACAATATCATATATACATATATATGCTTATATACTATGCACGGATATATGTGTAGATATTTTTTGAATTGTAAAAAGTACACAGTCATCATCCTTTTACAATCCCTTATTTTTTTCCGCTTAGTTGACTCTAGCGGCTGTATATTTCAGTATTGAATGTCTGATAATTGTTTCGTGGTTTTTGTTTTATTATCAATGAACTTTATTTCATATTTCTAGTGTTCTTTTTGTAACCTTAAATCTGTACTTTGCATTTTTTTCGCACTAGTTTAGATTATAATGGATAGATGACCTTGAACTAAAATTATTCCTTCAATGCTATTGACCATAGTAATGATCTTTCTAATACTTACAACAGTTATTATAAATATACGTATGCATATCACTTTTCAATAATTTCTACTCTTCAGAAATCTTTTTGTTCTGTATAATACGTCTCTTAAGATATTTTCTTCAATATTGAATAGAGGTTTTTGCGTGATTTCAAGATAATTTTTATCTTGAGAAATTCGGACTATTGTATCTTGACACATGGTATTGTGTTGACTGTAAGAGTTGATGGTTTTGAGTAAACACTGTTAAGATGTCTTAGTGAAGGATGACACTAGTGCATAGTGAAAATTACTCGTACATTCGCTATTGTTTTGTTACTGTTTTCTTGATAATTAAGAGCACCCGTTACTGATGACCATTCTGGTGCATAAATTTCTATCAATGCCTTCGAATTCTTACATTTTGATGGGATGATGTGGTGATCAATGCTTATATCAAACTTCAAGTGTCTTGAAAATGATGTTAAATTAGTTAGTAAAGTATCTGTAATCTGTGTTGTATACGTCTGATAACGAATAGTTCTGTTATTCAAGCATGTGACCGTCGCCTTCCTAAAGTATTATGAGTTTACTGGATCCAATTCATCAGACTGATGAAGTTATTTCTTAATGAATTTGGTTAATAACTCGAAAACAATACTCTTTGAACATTGTTACTACACAGTATTCTTTTTTCATTTCCGTTTTATATTTGTTTGTTTCCATTTTATTAAAGATTTATTTTCTGAATATTGTTATAGGAGTTGTTTTAAAGATATTTTACAGGTTTTAAAATTATTGTTTTATATTCTTGAAGTTACAGATGAACTCAAATGAAGCATTTACTGTACTAAGTCTAGTATTTCGCCATAGTTCTTTGTATGTTATTAAGATTTCAGAATATCACATTATAAAAGCTGGATTTATACTGCACTTAATTATGTATTCCTATTTCTGGGTTATATTTCAGACAGTTTTTCACTGCTCTCTGTACTCTTTGTTATATCATCATAAATAGTGATTTGTTAATTTCAAATAACCTCGGTTGTCAAGAAATCAAATATTTCTTGTCAGGTAAAAAATTAAATAATATTTGAACGTTCACAAAACGAGTTACTTTGTCCGAATGGATTTCTTCATTTTATAGCTTAATTATTGTGTGAAGTTATTCAAATATTACTTTACTGTTGTCTGTAAGCAAACTTTAGTTGTGTTTTTTTCACAGATGTGATTTATTTCCTTTTTAATTTAGTTTACAAATCTGTTTTCATTCAGATATATCTTTTTCATACTTTTGTCATTGTATGGCAGTTTATCAAAAAGTTATCACTCAGTCAGTATGAAAGTTATTCAACTTTTGCCTTTCAGGATCTCCAGTTGTTGGATCGAATGATTAAAAAGATGAGAAACATGTATAGTCAGAGTGATATATAATCGATAGTGAAATCAGATAATCTTAAACTGGATTATCATGATCAGTAACTTTTTTTTCTATATTCTTAACTAATTTAAATGAAGGGAATGAAATCTTGGCTAACAGGTTTATTAGGCTCATGATAAAAAGAAATACAAATACAAATACACTTGTGTATGAGTATATATTCTTGAGAATTGAACGTAAAATTAACGTAATAAAAGATCAACATAATGAGCTTTAAAAGAAAATATTTCTAGATTATGATCTGCATATCACCAACACAGCAAAATCTGGAGTTGTAGTTTGTAAAGTTTAATTATTAATCATTAAAACCTTAGGATATCAAGATATGATTGTTATAATAACGCCTGTATAGGATTGTATAGACTATTCTATTTTGTAATTTTCTCCTATATGAATCAGTGAACTTATGTTTACAATCGTTCTACCACTTTTCTCTTATGCTGGATACTGTATAGATATGTGTTTGTATTTATTTCATTAATTTCAATGTACCGCCAAATAAGTTTATATTTAATTCTTGATGGATTTAATGGTGCACAGTGCATTGATTCGAACGTAACCAGTCGTTGTTAAATATAGTCATATGTAGTAATGATCAGTGATACTAATCATCATTCTAACTCATTGTTTTAATGAATCATACTTATTTATTCGTTTATTTGTTTCTATGTTATCGTCAGTCCATTTAATCAGATGATTAACTATGGTTTGATTTTTACTTTTAATGTAAACATGCATTATATTTTTCTATTATATTTAAATAATTAATTTTTATTGTTTAAATATAATGACATAAATTAACCTGGTCATTTATAAGTTTAATTTTAGACTATCAATTTCCGTCTGATACAGGCTACTGTTTTATTCTAATTCTTCACTGTCTTAATGTTTTGCAAATTTTATGCGGGTAACATATGCAATTATTACTGAATTAATTTCATGTACATTAAATGTAATTTATAATTCAGTGGAATTAAACATTTAGACCTAACAACTCATCAATCTCTATAACCCCTTATACTGATAGAAAAAAAATTAGATCATAGGTTCAAATTCATTGCATTTAGTTGTCATAAATAGTCATTAGTAAAATTGCTAATCTTTTTTCAAAAAAATTTAGTTTTTAGATTATTGCACAGAGCTCCTACTTCATTTTGTTCTGTTTATTTTTAGGTTTTTCCATAATCTTATCTTATTAAATAAGAAATATATTCATAATTTTTGTTGTTGTTGAGAAAATGCTTATTTCTTTATGGTCGTGATTTTGTGTATCTTGATGGTAATTTTAAAATTTTATGTCAACTAGAAGATCAATGCAAAGCATGGCAGGACTGTAGACTTGTTTGTTCTCAGTTTAGAACTCTTTATTAATGGAAATGAACCACTTGCAAACAGATGACATGTGTGAATTTTAGGTCTCATTCGACTTCCTGAAAGTACTAGACTAAAATCCAACTGGTATATACTTTTAACCTGAGTCATCTGGAAATATAATATTATCCTCAACTACTGTCATCAATAGCTTACAGTTACAATCTTACCATAGCTGACTGGAGTTCCTGGATTCAATGTCATACTTCTCTGTTAGCGCACAATACCTAGTAGTCGAAAACTGGATTAGAACAAGTATTTTATTGTTCATCGGTTTTACGGTGATTCTTCCTGTTGATATCAGTCCCCAGATTTTAAAATTAATCATTTTTCATAAAAATTGGGACATCTCTGAAATATCAATACAGTTATTTCATTGATATTCCAACAATAATCTAATTTATCCTAATGTATAACAGCAAATGGAAAGCTGTTTTTTTTTTCATTTTCTTTAAAAATTATTTGAGATAAGAAAGTCTTTTGGAAAGCCCTTTTCCTTTAATGTTAAAATGTACAAAGTTAAAACTTATATTGATTGATTTTTAATAGACTATTTTTCTTTGTCACAACTATTTTTTCTTCGTATTTAAGGCAGCATTTGCAGGTCGAAAATCTCTTTACCTGTTTTTTTTTTCAGTGTTGTATTGATTAAAATGATATTTTTTTTTACATAGTTGTTGTTAGTGTTATCGACTACCATTGTAATCTTATTTCATGGATTTTGATTGATTAAATTGTTAATTTTCATGATTTCATTCTGTAGTAAATAATATGACAGTGTTCTACTGGAATGTAATCGAAATCAGTAAACTTCTATTATGATGTCTGTTACAAAATGATAGTACATTACGAATGTCTTATATGTTTTAGCCACCTAGTAATCCTTCAAATGGTTCTGTTATTGATATTCTAGACGGAATTGTAATCAGTCTTTGTTGGTAGATGTTTGTTTTATGCGAATTTCTTAGATACACCCAGTTTTTCACAAGTTCTTTTCTTAGAATAGACGTATTATAAGTCGTAGTGAAATTCATGGTGGAATTTCGTCCCACTTGAAACTCGGCAGCTATATGTGCCTGGATTCTAATGTCGATGTTATTATATGCCAACAAAGACAGATCGGAATTCAGTTTTGAACATTTACAACAGGATAATTTAAACATCGTACCGACTGGACAAGTTTACTGGTTATCTGGTATCGGTAAGTCAATGAATAACGCGCTAGCGTTTAAAGAGAGAGATACTATTCTAAGAAAATAACTAACAGTCATACTTTTTCAGTTATAAATTAAGCACCTCATTCAACGTTTTCAAATATTTTCTATTTGAGTGTCAGACAACTTAAATCCATACAACTTATTCCCTTCATGGATTTGAATGAGAGAAGAACGGCATTTAAAACAGGACATTATAAACTCTTATTGTATTAGTGTTGTTATATCGATTGGGTACGTGCCCTGTTATTACATATGAGGTGATGATTCCCGCCAATGAGAGAGAAGAGCGAATTATCGATCAGAGCGATGATACACAAAAGCCGTATGAGCAGTCTTGAGTACTTATCAGTCCTACTTTCTGCCTAGCCCAGCCATTTAAGTCCAGAACACCAATAACAGCCTCTATGCAATATGAATCATTATTCACAAACATACTGGGTTTATATACCAACCAAACTGACCACATCGTACCATAAAATAGAAAATAACATCTGTACAAGATTTGGCCAAATGTGGCTGTGAATAGAGGGAACAGTAATCAATAAACTGGGGATAACTCAAAAATGGTAAATCGTATAACAATAGTCTATGGATCAAAATAAAGCTTATGATAAGAGGAACACGAATACGAATACTTTAGTTACTTAACAATTATACAATAGGAAATATACATATCATATTGTTCCATAAATAGTCCTTAGAGTTACCATTCATAAATCTCCGCGGAATATAACAATTAGGTGTATTTTTAAAGCTACTTGAAAATCTTATTTGGACTGAAGGTTAATGTGACTTGCTACTCGTGTATCACTATGTTATCCTTTAATTTGTATGACGTTTGTAACTAGTTGACGAGAATCTTGCACATATAATGTATTTATACATTTCTACTGTTAGTTTCTGTACAGATTATTTGTACTTGAGGGATTTGCATTATTTATTTGAGACAATCTTTTATCAAAGCATTGTCTTATATCTGTGTGAAAAGAAATACCATACTTTATTTCAAATTAATGCGAAGCTATAACGAGTTGGAAAGTTTATAGGAAAATGAGGGAGAGATTAGAATGTAAACAAAACAAAGTCTGTCGTTGAAAGGTACACATGTTGCTAGAGTAACACTTTGCTTTTTGTATATCAAATTTTTTAAAAATTTTATCCATCTAAATTCATGATGATAAAATATTACTACTTGCATTTAAGTTTTTATTTAGTTAAGATAATTAAAGTCATGCAGGAATATTTTTTTAATAGTATTTATTAACTTCAACTATTAAAAAGGTTGTAATAGTCATAGCCAAGTCTTCTGTTTCATTTCACCAATAAATATCGTGTGATTGATAACACACAAAAAAACATACTACAGAAATAGCTGTTTTCTTCTTCGCTAAATAATTCTTTTGAGAATAATAAAACTGCATACATAACTTATAAATTAGACTATTTTAAAGTAATCTTGGTTGACAGAGTCTGAATTTATTTTTTTTTTACAAAGAATGGTTTAATTTTTGTCAGCAATTTTTAATTTCTTCTAATCTTCCCATTACTGAGAATTTTGTTCTACTTCGGTCATTAATATTTTCAGTCACATATAGGAAATTATGCACTTTCAAGCATCTTAGTTACTCTACTCAACAAAAGCAACGAGTTATTTATTTTTATATGATTTACTGTTTACGAAAATCAATCGTTCAAACCTACCGTTTGAGTCGATTTGTAGTTTCTTGTGTCATTCAATTGACATATTCGATTTGAATAAGATTTATTGTTCTATTGTTGCGTCAATATTCTTGAACATCATTATCATATAATATTGAACAATATAACTCATTCATCTATTCGACCCGTAGCTAATTTGATTGTATTGGGGATAGTGATACTGCTCAAATGCGCAAATCGAAGTAGGCGTGTAATTGTTTGAACCATTTACTTAGTGATTGAGGGCTGAGTACTTTAATCACTAAGCTACCTCCCTGTGGGGGATATCAATTTCCTCAGGATTGCTAATAACATTTTTAACGACAGGTATCAATTATTCCCAAACCTAGATTTGAAGATCCCCATCGACTACCTACACCCACGTAACACCAAATATATACCACAGCTATATCAATTAGTCACATTACAATTCGACTGAATAGATTTGATCAGCATTACGGCCTAGGCAATATGATATTTCGTCTTTAATAAGTGGCTAATTAAGATGCCTCCAAGTTACTTCTAACTTACAGTATAAGGTTCATTATAGTGGACAAGTAATTTGTACTAAAGCTTTTTTCCGTGCACGGTGTTTTATAAGTCATTTTCTGTATTTAAACTTTGTTCAATGATGAAAGCAAAGTAATTCAACCATTTCTGTAATGAATTAAATATAAAAGCCTATTAGTTTAAATGTGTTTTATCAGAATAGCTGACTAATAAGAGAATGTATTCATTGGTTATTCCATTATGTCGATCATTGCCCATTTAATCGTAATCTTAATAGTAATTTTTTCTCTAAATTATTATTATAATTTCTAGTCAGGTCATCAACCAATGGTTCGACTATGGAATGTGTCAGATCATTGTCAACTATCTGAATTCGGTGGTCATCATTTTCGTGTAGCAGCCGTACGTTTTAGCCCGAACGATCAATATTTAGTTAGTGTTGGCAGTCAAGAAGATCATACTCTATATGTATGGGATAGACACAGTGGACAAAGAGTAGCCAGTGCAAAAGTTACAAGTCGGGTAAATAATGATTTTTGTTCCTGAAATAGATGTTTTTTTTTACTATCGATTGTTAATTCATAGCCATTTGAAACTTTGTAAGACAAAGCTAGTGCATAATTTTTTTTAAAGAAGATAGTATCTTTTCATTTTTTTCATACACATGGTTTTGTCCATCTTTCGATTAGTAAACACAACTGCGATCTCATGGGTTAAAGTGATCATGATTTTTGAGTTTACAATCAATGGTAAACCTGTTTTTTTTATATTAAAATCTTAATAGTAGATGTTCAAGGAAATCAAAGTGTACTTTTTAATGTTTTTGCTAGTTGAACAGTAAGTAAATTAGTTGTTCATAAGTCTGTTAAGTGAACTCTCGATGCGATTTCGTAGCCTTCTCTAGCTACCTCAGGCTTGATCTACACGGTAAATTGAGCACAGGAGAAAAGATGCAAAGTACGAAAAAGTACACTTTATTCCAAGGTTAGTTTATGTACAGAAAAACGAGGGTATTTATAGAGTTACACACGACCTTTGGCTTCTGGAGATTTCTGTAACCACACTACATATAGTGACGGTATGGGTAAATATTCAGTTAGAAACGTGGCACGTGGCTTTCCAGTTTCTATGTGTTTCTATTCAACCCTTGATCGGTAAAGTGTTTCCAAGCGTTTTCTGAATCCCTTTGAACTTTCCCGAGAAATACTGTGGAACTCCCCAACAGTTAATAATAGTAAGATCGCCTAAGAATTAATTAAATAACTTTGTAATTTCTGAAACTTCTGCACTGATTAGGACTGTTGTCACATTTGAGTTAATTCATGACAGCTTTAAGTGTTTATACAGTTTAAGTCTAACCAATTATGGTTTGTATACACATAAGTTTTATTAATTTTAACTTGTTAGATAATTTATTTATTGTTTATTTAGTTTGTCAAGATTTATTAAATTTGAACAGTCCCCTAGTGATTCGTAGCAAACCATTTCAGAGAAACTTCTAATTTGATGTGTAGCAATTCACCAAAGACAGATTCATAAACACAGCTTTGAGGTACATTATATGTTTGAGGGTTAATGATGTTTCTCGACTGCCCAATCCGAACTAAGTGAATCAAGACTCGAAACCACAATCTAGCGACTAAAAATTAAATATTTTAACCACTAAGCCACCACTTCACGCATTTGAAAGTCAGTCGGTAGTAAGTCGATGTATTTATTATTTATCTTGAACACATAAATGTTGGTTCAAGGGGGCACCAGATATATTTGCGCAAACGATAAATAGCTTAGAAATCCCCGAAAAATGAATAATTCATTCAGTTGCTTTGTGTCAGCAAGATTATTCCTTTTATTTAAATCGATGGTCATTAATGTAGGTTTTAATAAAGTCATAAATGAGTGAGTGCGGGATTTTAGTAAATACTGTCAAATTTAATAGTTTGAATCAGAAACTGATTTAATCTAGATCATCACTAAAAGAACGGAACAGTAGGCAGCCGTTTCGTTTTAGAATGTGACTCAGCAGTGTTCATCCGCAACCCTATCACTAGGGATCGAGCTTAGGACCTTCGATATTGTGAAGGACTATATTGTTTCCCTTCTCCAAGACTCGGAGTGTATGCGAAATAAATTTAGTACACGGTATGTATAACTAGTTTTCGAAGTTTTTTCTCAACTTTTTTATCGCTGCATCACCCCCATAATATTATGGCTTACTGTCTTCCTTATTATATTTCCCTACCAGAGAAAAGTACTGTCATTTCGTTTAATGCGGTTAATTTTTAATGTTTCAGTCGGTACCAAGTTTTTTCTTTTGCTACGATGAATCTATACAGAAAGAGCTTTTTTTATCTTTTTATATGATGGGGGCTAAAATATTTTCATTTAAGCAAATAATCTAAAAGAAAAGGGAATCACATTAGTTTTCTGCACTTATTCATTCCTCATATGGTCAACATTAAATATAATCAATCGTATGTTGATTTCTGTTAATATCTGAAATCGATTTTTTACTAATCACATCTTTTAGTTCATAAATCAGTCTTGTTAATTGTTTCAGTTTAAACTGCTTTAGATTAGGAGTTCATCACTAATGCAAAACAGTCAAATTGGTGTATATTAAATGGGAAAATGATACTTCATCTCGTCAACTAGTTGTCATAGTAATGGTTTTAGATGGACAAATCAATGAATGTATATGTATTTGTATAAATAAAGAAAAGTAAAGAAAAAATCCATTTAGACTAGTTCTGTTTCGGAATAAACAGCTGATGTGTAGAGTTACGAACTATTTGGAGATGTCTAGACATTTTTAAAATTTCAAACGAACAGATCGCCAGTTCAGAACCCACGTTCTGTTTACCAAGGGTTTGTCAATCAGCTAGCTTCGAAATAAAACTTTTCAAGTAAATTGGATTAAATAACACGTCCTACTTGATAAATTTCATAATAAAAGGTAGTGGATGTAGGCTCTGGGTAGTGTGATCTGCTGCATGAAGAATCCAACTTTAAGCTATTGGGTTAAATTTTAAAATCCCACTCCACCTACTTCGTTCAGTGCATTTCGTTTGTTTTTTTTTTGTCTTTGTTTTTTCTTAATTTCCATCATGAAAGAATTTGTAAAATTGAGGAGTTCGTTCAGGGTATAATTTGATACAATTTAATATTATTTAATATTGGCGGAATTGTGATTGTCTCTTTTTTCATCTTGATAAGCAAATTAACTACTGATTAGGTTTACTTGTCATTTGAAGTGATATTCACTCATTTTATAGTATGTTATCATACTAACTGTTTGTTTTTATTTTATGTGATAGTTTTAGTTAGTATATACGCAAACCACAGGTATCACTACTGGTTTTAATAGTTTTGTCTGTTGTAACGAAGAGTTATTCATTTCGAAAATATGTGCTCTTGTACTTACTAGTGACTTATTCCCGGATTTCTAACGAGAAGCTATGATCAGTGAAGTTCAGTTGTCTTTCAAAGTGAAGCAGTTACCCACGAATAAGACTAGAAAATGGTTGCGCAGTATCATTGATTGATTCAATTCGGACATGTACACTTTTGGACGCCAACTCCGTGGTCTAAAGGTTAAGTTCTCGCCGCTATGTCTGATTATCCTGAGTAAAATTCCCTGAGGTGGAATCATGGATGCGCACCTCTGAGAAATCCTATACTAGGACGAAACAGCTATCTGGTGCTTTTTGATTCCCTAAGGTTGTCAATCTGAATTCAGTCTGTGATATGAACAATAAAATCCAAAAATTAGTTTCTATCGCCTATTAGCATCAGGTGGTTCTCAATGGTTCTGTCACCTGTTGTCAATCCGCGATAAAATTTATCCCCATGTCGGTGTGAAAACTGAATTATGTGTGATTGGTAGTTGACATCAAAAGAAAACTCCATGTTGTCAAGCATAAATCAGGGCTGTGTGCATTACAGATGCGGTAGGATTTTTATATCTCGAAATGTTACACGCAACTATTGATGAAGTTTACGGTTCATCTAACTTATAAAACAGTACCTATTCGTCATTTTAAACAAAACTCATTGGTTCTAATTGCCATACTTCACATTAGCACAGTGAAAGGAATTTAATAATAGTAAAATCGAACAGTTGGACATATAAATATTAATAGTGATATCGATTGAAAATTGGAAAATGAAAATGCAAGATAAACAAATAGGAGTGACGAATGAAAATCATAAATTAGTACATTATGTTCAAAACTTGGCAAAAGGTAACGAATAAATGCATCTTCACAACGTTGACTACTTTTAAGCTACATCACTTGAAGTTACCAACTATTAGCGGTAGTTATTTATGACCGACCGGTTTTATGACTTAAAATAACTGTATATCCATGTTTTTTTGGCAAATTTCTAGTTTTTCTGTAATAATAATTTTTCCATTCTTTTCGCCTCTTTAATATCCGGTAGTTCATCGCTTAGACATTATCTAGGTTATTGAGATGATGAGGAAGCAATTGTAGCTAAGAATGAGGATGTTGGTGTTGTGCTATTTAAGTTGGATGGTTTATTCATGAATTTCTCTTTATCTTTCTGGACGACATTACCATAAGATCTATCTGTATACAACAAAATGCACGAATAGAGATAGATGTTGTGTGAAATGTAGAAATATAGGGTGGTGGAGATTGTCGAATTTTACTTAAATCATGAACCAATCAATGATAGACCACCATTGAAAACCCGAAAACACTAAACGGCCATCTCGTTTTCGTATGAGATATCCCAGAAATGTGTATCCACGACCCCACACGCACGAATCGAACCCACAAATTTCTATCTCATGTGTGAACCCTTTACCTTTAGACCACTGAACCAGGATCCAATAGTTTTAATCTATAACTTTAAATAATCCTTGATATTGCGCAGCCATCTTCCACTGTCTTTGATGGATAACTTCTTCACACTCAACACAATTGAACTCCATGGGTTCCGACTTCTCACTAGAACTTTGGGACTTTTCTCTCTCGTCCGTTTCGTCGTAGTACAATCCGTTATACTACTCAACTTTTCGAAATTGCATCAAAATTATTATTCTTTTCATGAACATACGATATATTTTTTAATGTATACTTTTGTGGTACAATTTTTATGAATAAATAGCTGATACTTTTTTTCCAAAGATCAGTTTGTACATGTATAACACACTAGACATAAAACCTGGAGAAAGTCTGTTGGTTTTTTCAAACTAATGGTTTCACATTTCACATTGTGGTTGTGCAATACGACATACTTATCTGTTTGTTTGTTTGTATAGATTTGTCTTTTTTATATTTTATTAGTTCAAACGAAATATCTCACCACCAATTAATGATAATATTACTGATTGATGATAACATCATTAGCGTGCTGATCCTATTTTCATAAGCCTGAGCATGTGCACCTACTACTAAGTTTGAATTCTTCGTGTTCAACTAAGCGGTTGTATGTGTCTTTTGAGCTTTTTCCATAACTAACTGAAACAAATCATGTAACACATGCCATCTTAG